CCTACCCACGGTGGGCACATGTTAATATGCCCACCGCGTAGGTGGCATGCACTCATTGGTGATGTATTTTTTTAAACTTATTAACATCACCAATGAGTGCATGCCACTTACACGGTGGACATATTAACATGTGCCCACCGTGGGTAGGGGAGCATTTCTGAAAAGGTTTTTGATAACATAAAGTAGTGAAGATAGCTTACAACAAACATGATAAAGTGAAGGCAAGGCAGCATAAAATCAATTATCAGTAGAATTATTTACAGTGGTTGCATTTCCCAAATAAAATAATATGATACAATCTCTGCAATAATAAATCAGCCCAATCCAAAATTTGGAACCTGCATGCCATCTCAACTGTTTTTATCTCTACACATTACTTTATGATCTACCTGACCCCACCCTTCCCCTATTCAAACTCACAAATTTGTTAGTTAGTCTGTTTAACAGATCAACATTGGCTAGACAGACTTGTACTATTTGAATAAACTAGTATTGTTCCCGTGCAAATGCACGGGTATTACAAATAAAAATATTATTTTTAAAATAAATTATAAATTATACAAATATTAATATACATTTTAAAAAATTATGTACAATATTTTCCTTTCCCTATTGTCTTGTAAATTTTAAATTAATATTTTAAACTCATTCTCTTTTAGCTTGGGAAATAACATAGAGTTAACTATATATATTTAATGCAACATTTTTATTTCTAAAGTTTAAAATGTCTAAAGTTGTATGATTCTGAAACTCAAATATCGAAAGTTTTTAAAATAGATCTTCCTTTGCATGAAAAAAAAAAATCATAATAGTGTTGGTATTTTGAGTAAAAGTGCTGACTTTTTTTTTTTTTCATTTCAAAGTATTATTGTTCTATCTAATTATATACTCATTGTCAAAGAATTATTATTCTAGCTAAATATATATAATGAACATTGTAATGGTTATATATACTCTTTTCCTATTTTCTGATATGATGATGCATTTTCATTGTAATGGTCATATATACTCCTTTTCTATATTTTTCTTGTTTGATGATGCACTTTCATTGTATTGATAGATTAACCGTTATTTTATAATTGATGGCATTCTTGCCATGATGTATTCATAGTTTTTTTTTTTCACATTCAGTTAACAATTAATGCTTTAATTTTACGGTACTTTTACTTGATTTGGTCACAAATGATGTTGAATCTAAATTAAATGAAATATGATAATTAGAGAGATATAATCCATTCGGTATGAACATATGAGTGAGTAATCTGCAGGTAATCCAACAAATGCTAGTAACTGTGATCCGTACTGAAGAATAAACGCAAATGCAGAAAAGAATCATAAAAAAAGATTTCAAATGCCAAAGATAAAATTAGAAGTACACATCCATCTTGTTTTCTCTACAACTTACAAATATAATTTATCAAAATAAAAATACTTTTAATATAACAACATAACATTCTAATTTAAATTTCTTGTTTGAAACTCTAAACATAAAACTTCTTGATACAGTATGAAGATTACGACAATGCTTCTCTGAAGAACAAAAATAAAAGATACAATAAATAAACAGAGTTCGTTATACAGAAATTAAGACGACTCACTAAACGGCCACATGGCTGATCCAATCTTACCCTACAGCCAGGTTGGTGATAGTCTTATAGAAAATGAACTCAAAGTCTACCAAATGTAATTGCATTTATTAAATGAAGGCAAAATTGTTTTTATTATCATATTACAAAGGAAAAAGGAGAGATAGAGCATGCAGTATATTAAGACTTTGTGACTCCTCCGTATATTGAATCTCTCATAGACAAAAAAATTTAGCAGAAAAAAAAGAAAAAGTTGTACCTTGTGAGATAAGCCATATATCTTCATATCTCCTATGCTGCTTAATCCATGTTTTAAGATAATAATAAAACTTTATTTATGTTAATTAAAGAATATGAAAAGGGTGATTAATTAAAGAAGTGTAACTTGAAGTAGATAAGTATATGCTAGTGGGTTTAGTTACAGAAGGTGAGTTAAATTATGCGACTTTGGTAGTTATTGTAAATATGTTAGTGGGATCTTTTCCATAGATTTTTTTTTTTTTTTAAATAAGTGTTTAGCAGTTATTACATATTATCAGTTTGTGGT